AGATGATGTCATCAAAGAGATCAAATGTCTCAGGTTCTGGCTGAAGAAGTGATACCAAAATGGTGGATCCTGAAATGTGTGTCCACTGCGGAAGACAAGAAACAATCTGGAATGTGGTTGAACTATCTAGGCCAGTTGAAATTTCATCCACGAGGAGAACTTTTGCTGGACCAATTATCATTTCCCCTGGTAGGTGCACATAAAAAACTACTGAAAATTATTGTGGTGAAATGAGAGATTTTCATGTCAGGTGCGCCACAAATGATTCACTCTCATAGCTAACTCCATAATTTTTGGATCACTAGAGATCTTAATCTAATAGTTTTCCATTGATTATTAACGAGTGACTATCTAATGGGGACCTCGTGGTAAAATTTGAAATGTTAGAGCCTGCCTACCAACCTGTTGTTAACCGTTGTAGGAGATGTCTCCTGTGACCTAAAATGAAGATTTTACGAGAAAGATTTTTTTCTATAAGTGATTATGATTAATTAGAAAGTCTAACTTCGGACTTTTAACTATTTAAAGCTTTTTACTAAGTTTTGGATACAATGCAAGAATGTTGATTGTTTCTGTGAATTCTTTCTCACTATTAATGCTATATTTTAACTTTTGGCTTGTATTTTCTTTGATAGGGGTACGATAAATAAGGAGCAGAAAACCTTAAGAGTTTGGTCTAGTTTCCCTGCAAGTGCCATTAACAAAGTGGTCTTCCCACAGCCCGGAGGCCCCAGTAATAGTGTCAACCTGCCAAAAACTATGTTTACGTGAGGTAATTTTGTTTTACAAAGAAGACAACAAAGAATTAATTAGCGCTAATGACAACCTTGAAGGCTTGATGATGCCACGGACATCTTGAAGAATTTTGATCCTATTTGCATGAGAATTGCGTCCAACAATATTTGTGATAGCCTGTTCAACATTATACATCTGTTTTAGTGTCCAATAACCAACAATTCAGGTATAGAAAAATATGCTAAACTGTCAGCTTTGGATGTATTGCATTGCACAAAAACTGTGGTAAAAGTATTTTTCTTACCTAAACTTCTGAGTCATATAAGCAACTGAATTTTACTCACTTTCTAAAAACATTTTTAATAGTTATTTTTTCAATTCAAAGAACTGTCCGACAAACTGCTTAAGCTAAAAATAAAGTTGTAAGAGGCCTCTCATCTCTTTTTTTTTTTTTAAAGGATGTATCTGAAACTTGGAGACCAGGAAACGGAAAAATAAAAACAAATTACTGAACTTCATTTTTTAATGTTTGCCTTGGAAAGTTAAAGGGAAAAATATGAAAGAGAAAAGGGGGAATGTTTGTGACTTTGAATAGTTCTATTTTTCTTGTAGAACAACGAGGAAACACCGGAAGTTGTGAGGAAAGAAAATACAAATCTTCATGACGAGTTCTCATCTTAGGAGGACAAATCAAAATAATAAGAAACAAATAGTTAGAATAGCAACATGGTATCTAGGAACATTAATTGGTAAGAAGAATTAATTTATACAGTTGTAATGAGAATGTTTGTTTAAGTGATATGAGTGTTTACTTGGAATAGAGAATGGAAAATAAAGTTCATGTTTCTAACCCCATTCATAATGATGATGATGAAACAGAGTATTCTGTTTAAAAAAGATTAGAAAAAAGCGAAAGAAAACCACTTCCACTGACAATGCTTTTTAGGGTGTTCCATAGTGTTGGGAAGGGCTTCCCATGAACTACTTCACAGTCTGCTTCTACAAACAAATTCTGGCATCTCACTTCCACAGTGGGCAATTCCAGTCCAACTCTGAAGAGCGAAGGACAAATTCATTCTATTATATACATATTAACTGCATGTATGAACCTATTTCTTAACTAGAGACTTGTGATATATTGTATGATTTGTGCATATAAAAGACCAGGTTTTCTGCGCTCATAGCAAGTACCTATTTCTTGTACTAGAGACTTGTGATGGAGTCCTGCCTTCTAATCTAGGCATTAAATAACAAAGGCATACACTGGTTTATGTCCTTTCTATAATGGGTTTTGGAGTGTGACTAATTTTTTCATTATTATGCACAAGAGTCCTGCTGCTTCGTCCGAATTCGGCCCAGAAATTATTTAATTTTCCTATGCACAAAGCAGCTGCTCTCAAGACTTGAATTCGTGTTCTTGCACTTTTCAATTTGAGGCTTTAGCATTTAACCAAGTAATGACCCTTTAGTCTAATTATTGAAACAAAAAAAAATTGAAGGTACCGATCACAAGTTCACGTAAAGATAGGTTCACAATTAATTATTATTATTATTATTTTTTCTTTCTATGCAATATGCATGAATGACTATAACTATGACTACGAGTATGACTATGAATGAACAATATATTTAAGGGTAGAAATTAAAGGATGGACAAAATTAAATGATTCATGTTTTCCTGGCAATTCTCTCTCATTTTTCGTAACAACTGGTGATTATCTTGCTCGATTTTCTTCAAGAGCTTCTCAATGAATACATGCCGTTCTAGAGCTCCAAGGTTGGCGACGTCAATCGCTGCCTTACTCATCTCCCCTTCCTTGCCGAATAATCATGTTCTAAGTCGTTTGTACGTGGGTAATCTTTCAATTGCAGCCCACTGCAACTCTATTTCGTCGTCATTTTCTCTAAATGGCATTTCATCTGAAGTAAGATTACTATTATTACTCTTCAAACTGGATGCCTGCAGGTGACCAAAGGACGATCTGCTGTTCTTTTCCATCTGTGCCAGCTCTATACTGAGGAATTCTGTGTCATCTGATCTTTCGGTATGCTCTGCCATTCTCTTTTTTTCGTTGACTATATTATAATGTAATGTTGCTTCTTCGCAACTTTGAGTTGTACAGCAAAGGCATGCATTTATAGAATTCTGACTCCCATGTTGTTTGCATGTGTTAGTTTTCTATTGTGGCACTCTTCTCTAGCTGTGATTTTAATTGTGTCTGATTAGAATCTCATATTTTTTACTCATCAGCAGTTGAAGCGCGCCTTGTTATTTTATTAAACAAATAAATTTGTGATATTAATAGTGTAAACCCGTCGTCTGTATTTAATGGCTATTGTAAGGTGGATTTGATGAATGAATTGATCAGATTGCAGAACAGAATATATATATATACAAGGTGGTGATTGCAAAACAGACAATGTATTTGGTATGGTGTAATGGTGTGGAATCATTTTGCCTATACTCATAGGCAAAATGGCTACTAGCCTATTATGGATGCTTATTGTTTATTCAGCAGAGTTAATTTGCCTATACTTATAGGCAAAATGGCTACTAGCCTACTATGGATGTCTGTACGCTCATACATATATATATATATACACACACACACACAAACACACACACACACACACACTTATGCATGCAGTGATCTTGATTTTTTGGCAATTAATTAACCTTCGTTTTGTTCAATGTATGCTAAATTTAATGATCACATGACAGTGTTGTGGAAAATTTACTGCTTGAGCATGAGTTGTAGATCTATTTGTAGATGAGGAAGAATACTTACTTTTACAACTCATATTTGGATGGATTTGTGTGTCTGCACTCTCTTAGAAGCTCTCCGTATCTTGAACCATACTCACATGAGGTTTTGTCAAATTATACACAGGTAAATCATTTAACGTTTGTTATTTTGACCATTTCTGAGATTTGGCGACACTCCCTAGCCTTCTTTTTTCAACGGATAATATTGCCGGTCCTTTTATGAAAAATAGGGCATTACTGACTTTTCACACAAAGTCAAAATAATAATTGTTTAACATTCTATTAGTGTGTAATTTGCTCTAATATGAAAGTTCTTTGTAAATTTGTAAGTGACTCTAAATTTTATTGTTAAACGAGAAATGTAAAAATAAAATAAAAATGTGAATGAAAATGAGTTTGCATGCTTATTGCATTTTGGTTTGGATGTTACTAGGATACATATGCACACATAATTGAATACATGCATGTATTATATATAAATGAGTTTGAATGCTTGAGTCAATTTTAGAACTATTTTAAATGTCGAAGTGCCTTCAAAAGTGAGAAATTATTGAATGATTTTGGTCTATTTAACATTTGGTGGACTAATTTAATGAAAGTTTTTCAATCATGACACTTTATAATATATTAATATACTCTTGTAAATATATGTATATATATTTTGTTAATCTCGAAGTTTGTATTTAATCGGTCCTCCAATTGTCATCCAGTAATTTCTCCTTCAAAGTAACTAAACATATAGATATGTGGACTAAAATCATATTTATATATACACACACATATATTCAATTATTTTTCGATGTTGCTTAAGGAAAAGTCCATAAAATAAATAAAATAATAATAATAATTAAAAAAAAAAAAAAATTTGAAGTCGTTGTTTGAATATAAAAGCAGGCTCTTTGTCGAAATAATATTAAGATTAAATCTGCCTTTGTTCTTTTTCTCCTAACATCTTATATAGGTTGTATATATGGCACTGCATACACTTTTTATTTTTATTTAGTCTTTGATTTTCGCTTAGACCTAGAATTGGGTGATCTATTTTATATTCCTCATGGTTTGCATTTTTGTTAATAAATAATAAGATACCTTAAGAACAGATTGTCTATACTTGCTTTTTTTGTTTCTCAAGATTTGGTCTACTTTATACTTTAATAACGTACTTATTCAACATTATATTCATTAAATTTTTTATTTTTATTTTTTTATTTTTTTTATTTTTCTTGGTTTGTGAGTTTATACGAGATCTAAAATTACCGAAGAAAAAAATTAAAAATGAAAATAAAAATAAAAATAGATGCAGCCACATAATTTCCTTATTTACAGGCAAAAAGCAGTTAAAATATGTGTTTTAACTGCTTTCAATCTACTATGGCACTATTGGCTGAGAAACAAATGGCCTTTTGATGTTGAGTGCTACTGATGATAGGAAATTGATGCAAGAGAATGATGAAAGCATAATTCAATCATCTATGTATGCAGAAAATCACAGATTGCATTACAGATTAATAAAGATCACAATTTTTATTTATGTTGCTGTATCATCCACGTGAACATATAACGCTATGAAACCTATACCAGATATTATCCATGAACTGAAAACATACGAATCTCCATGACTTGTTAAACAGAAATGGACCAACTACACCCCAAAAGCCCACCACAAATCCTAGTGCCATACTAACATAGAACCAGTCCACTGCAAATCTATGGCCTGTTTTGTCTGCTCCATTTTCAATAGCACATGGTGTATCGTTAACACCGCAGTTGTTATTTACAGGAGGTCCACATAAACTGTTTCCAACATAACTGAATGCATCAAAACTTTGAAGTTGAGTGCTAGATGGTATTTTTCCACTCAAATTGTTGTAGGACAAGTTCAAGTAACTTAGGAGTGTCAAACTGGACATGCTTGGAGGGATTTCACCAAAAAGATGATTCATGGAGAAATCAATGGCTTCTAGTTGTTCCATAGCACCAATATCCTTTGGAATTCTTCCTGTCAAAAGATTATATGACAAATTTAATGAATGAAGCCCTCGGAGACTCGTCAATTTCTCAGGGATCTCTCCTGATAAATTGTTATCTGAAAAATCTATGCTCGTAACTAGTTGAAGAATAGTGCTATATCCCATCATTTGTCCTTTTATTACCAACAATGCATTCTCTAAAAAACCTTCAAAAGAGGATGAAGTGGTAGAATTAGGCCAGTATGACATTCTTCTGCTTGACTTTTGTTGTATGGCCATAGCGCTCAAATTCATGAAACATGCTGGTATACTTCCCGAAAAATTATTATGTGCAAGGTCCAAGATTTGAAGTGAACTGAGTGCACAAAGTTTCTTAGGAATATGGCTTTGAAACTTATTTGATCTTAGGATAAGAATCTTGAGATTTGAAAGCCTTTCTCCTATCCACGTGGGTATACTTCCTGAAAATTCATTTTCACCAAAATCAATAGCCACTAACCTTGTGCAATTTTGCAGCGACAGAGGTAATTCCCCAGATAGGCTATTGTTTCGTAAATGCAACGATTCGAGAAAATCTAGAGATCCCATGGAGCTTGGGATTTTGCCGCTTAGATTGTTATTTGCTAAATTTATGAACTCCAAGCTATTGCAGTTTGTCCAACAGTTTGGCAATTCTCCTGACAAAAGATTTCTTTCCAGATTAAGAAGTTGCAGGTTCTTAGATTCATCCATCTTGTAGCACAGAAATTGAGAAATAGTTCCAGAAAAAGAATTGTTCGAAAGATCCAGTGTCGATATATTTGACGACAAACGAGACAATGTACCATTAAAGTGGTTAGAACTTAAGTCAATCGCACTGAATGGCACAGATACGGCTAAAAACTCATCTACAATCTCACCATGGATATGATTGTGAGAAATATTTAAATAGGAAATCTGAGATGATAAGTTCCAAAACCACCTAGGAATGGTATCCGAAATTCCTGTATGTGATATGTCTAGAATCACTAAATTTTTCTGTGAGTGAAGCCAATGGGGAAATTGTGGACCTAACCGACATGACCTGAATGAGAATTCCCCAAGTTGGAATGGAGGAACCCAATTTGGACTAACATTCAAGAACAATTGATTCCCAGATCCATCAAGATACCTCAATCGTGTGAGGTTGGCAAAGTGGACTTTAGAGATGACACCTTGTAATGAATTTTGTGACACAGAAAAACTTTCTAGATGTGCAAGTTGGCCAAGACTTTCAGGAAGAGGTCCACTCAAATTATTGTTATAAAGATTTAAATTCTTCAGAGAATGTAATCTTCCCAAGGACACTGGAAGTTCACCAGAAAGAGAATTATGAGATAGATCAAGAGAGACCAATTTTTTAGATCTTCCAAGTTCAGGAAAATGGCCCCGAAGTTTATTGTAGCTTAAATCTAGAGTTTCTATTTCATCTAAAATGCAACTAGACAAAATGTTTGAAATCTCCAGTATATCACCGCTCAAGTTATTCTCGTAAAGTATGAGTACTTTCAAGTTGCAAAGATTTTCAAAGGATCTTGGCAATCCCCCTGTGAACAAATTCCATGACAGATCAAGATATTCAAGATGACTGAAATTAGATAGCCACTCAAGTATTGCAGAATTGAAAAGATTGGAGGACAAATCAAGGTATTCAAGGCGGCTAAAACTAGATAGCCAATCAGGTGTTGTAGAATTGAAAAGATTGGAGGACAAATCAAGATATCTAAGAGAGGTGATGTTTCTCAGACCACTTGGAATTGATTCATGTAAACCACAGAATCTCAAATTGAGATGATCAAGGCCACGAAGACTAAGCAGCCAATCAGGTAGGATGAAGGATTCAAAAGGGTTATCAGAAAGATCAAGGACGGCAAGAGAAGTAAAATTAAGAATATGTAAAGGAGGAAAGTGATGAATCCCACAATAGACCAAGTGTAACTCTACCAAAGAAGGGAGCATGTTGATTTGCTGCAACCAATCATGTGCTTTGCTGAGGTTCACGTTCTCCAGATCAAGGTGCTGCAACAAGGAACTACCAGAAATCCATTCAAGAGTGTGAGCATATAGATTGCCATCATACCAAACTCCAAGTCTGAGATAGTGCAAATTGGAGAGGTTCCCCAGTTGATGAGGAATCACTCCTTCAAAAACTCCATCAAGATCAAGGAAGTGCAACCCAGAGAGGTTTCCTAGTTGACTCGGGATGACACCTCCAAATCTAGCATAGGAGAGATTAAGATATCTTAAGCTCCCAAAGGAACCAATGAAGCTTGGAATCTGAATCCCATTAAAATTGTTGCCGCTAAGATCCAAGTAAGTCAGATGCTTCAAATCTTGTAAGGATGGGTTTAGCTTACCTCCCAGCATAGATGCTTCAAAAGCTTCATATTCATCATTACTTAGATATTGGACATTGAATATAGCGTCAAGAAAAGGATTTTGAAGGTGGAGCTCCTGGACATTGCCTGTTAAATTGTTACAGACAACTCCAACCCATTCGCAACAGTCCCCTCCTGATTGATCAGCAACCCATGAGAAGAGACGATTTGAAGGATCACTTAGATCTTGCTTGAATTTCAGAAGGGCTCGTCTTTCATTCTCCACGCAAACCACATGATGAGAGCTGTTGTTTCCACTACAAAACACCACAATTGTATCAAAAGTTAGTACTACTGAAGTAATCAGAAACACAATTGCAAGATTAATGCTAACATCTGTCATGGATTTTGCCATAGTCATGCAAGGATATAAGCAACAGCTAGTAACTAATACTAGCTATATCTATATATATGTTGAACTTATAATACTGTATCAAAAGATTTAATATATATTGAAGGTTTAGATTAAACTATAATTGCTAAAATCGTATGACTAAACTTCTTTTATTTATTTAAATTTTTTTTTATTTGAAGGTAAATGCTTTCAATAGGTGTACACATGGAAATATTTACAATTCACAATAGCAGATAATCTTTTAGAATGATGAAAATAATTTACAATTCTATAAAACTTAATCATAAAAATAATTTACAATTCTATAAAACTCTCTATTATTATTGAATATTTTCTACCGACAACAGTTTTTACGAGCTCTTTAATATACAAAATTTCAAACTCTCTCCAACATTCCAAAATATAAAATGTAAAATATGTGTGATTTGGTAAATTGCTTACTTGATTACGGTGTACCGAACGGAAAAACCGAAAGTAATTATAATCAAATATTTTTTTTCTTAACTCAAACCTTTAAAAGAATACAAAATGTGATTATTTATACATGTATATAATTCTCCAAGATACCTTTATTTTTCTTTATTCAAATTTTTTATGTAAAGCTTTGTACAAGCAATCAAAAAAGTTTAAAATACAATATGCATGTTTTTTTATAATGTTTTAACCGAAACAAATGAAGCCTTTTGTTTGATGTTATCAATTTGTAAGCTAGACAACAATATTTTAAACAGCCTTATTGTTTTCTAGTCATTTTATTAACATATTTAATATCAACAGCCAATAACTTCAACTGAAGCCAAACTGTGGTTTTTATTTTATTTTAGAATTTACTACTTTAATATTTTGCAATTGGGAATTTGGGATATAAGAAAATTGAGTAAATTTCACGTCATCTGATTTAGCTATCTTCGGTTTTGGAATTGGTGACACTGGAAATCAGTAGTTCTTGTTTTGAAAAATTCTTATGTTGATGCTTCATGTTCAAGCAGGGTATGTGAGTAAATTCACCTATCAAAAAAAAAAGTAAAGAAAGAAATTGTGGACAACTATTATAATTTGTTTTTCATTTATATTTTATTTTAAAGTTAAAGAGTTGTCCAAAGTTCTTGCAAAATCCTATTGGTACTACTAATTTTTCCCAAATAAGGTCCAATGGTTATGGAATAATTTTTAATATCTTGGTGACTCTTAATAAAACTAGTGTTTCACTATGGTGTCTAATCGCTTCACAGTAAGAGTGTTTCCTCATAATTTTTTCTTTTCAAATTTTCTATACACGTAATGTGATCGATATTTTCTGAAGCAATCTTTCTACAAAATTGTCAAATTCTCTTAACAAAATAGGCTCCATCGGGTGCTAGGGACGTAATTGTTATAGGACGATATATCTCACAATGGGATCCATATCACTCACTAGCTATTTTCCCTATTGCGCCAAAGACTTTGCAATTGCAAAGTCTTTGGATTATATATATTAGACGTGACCTCTTTGCCCTCTTTGCAGAAAGTCTTTGCGTGTGATGCGGGTAAAACGCTTCCATAATTCCACATAAAGTCTTTTGCGTGTTGTCCCACCAAAACCAACGAACACTTATTATTCCCCTCTTTAAACTCTATTTTGACTCTATTTCATAGGGCTTTGGATTATACATATTAGATGTGACCTCTTTGCCTTCTTTGCAGAAAGTCTTTGCGTGTGACGTGGGCAAAACGCTTCTATAATTCCACACAAAGTCTTTTGCGTGTTGTCCCACCAAAACCAATGAACACTTCATTAAATTATTCCCCTCTTTAAGTCTGTTTTGACTCTGTTTCACAGGACTTTTTGTACTCGTATTTCAAATTAGGCACAGTGCTTTAAAAAATACTCTCTTTCATGTATGAGGATTTGAGTTCCACCTACACCCATTAATAACTAACTAATGCAAAATGACCAATTAAAATGTTCAAATTTTGTTATCACACAAGCTTAACTAATCTTTTCATAACAAATACATTTTTTTTTTTTTTCAATACAAGGGCACGACTCCAGGATATGAGCTCCTAATAATTTTCTTTCAGTATTCGAGGGTGTTTTTATAACAAATACCTATTGTTCAGTAAAAGGGAAAATAAGAGGGGAGAAAAAACATAGAAAATAATACTTATCTATATTTTGTTGAAAAATGAATAATAAACTACTTAAATGTTCATTTAGAGCCCTCAAATTTTACTTATATATAATAAAATTTTAAACTTATTTTATTATTATTATTTTTTCCACACCCCTTCAAAGAATTATTAGTGCCTACCAAGATTCTATCCTGATTATTTATTATATTTATAAGTAGGTGGTTTCACTGAACAATTGGATTTGTTGGGTGCCAGTGATTAAAATCACAATGGTGTTTTTGTATCCATTTTCAATTTTGTGTATGAAGTTCATTCTAAAAATGATGTATTTTTATTTTTTTAAGGGTGGGGGTTGAGGGGGTGAAGGGATGTATGAGACATGCTATTATTTTAGTGGGTATTTGAATTATCATTTGCTTAGGCTAGAGAATTAAACACCACCACAGCCCGCGCGAGTGACTCAAAAGATAAGTAATCTTTTGGGACAAATTGTAAACTCTAATGTGTTAATTTCAACTCTAATAGAGTGCAAAATATCTGAACTTGAACGATGCACGTGATTATGCGTATTTAAATAAATAAAATAAAGTAAATAATAAAGTCAAACGTGTTAATTTTCACTTCCAATAAGATTCATCTCATTCATTGGCTACGATCTTTCCAATTGCACCAAGGTCTTCACAACTGCAAAGTCTACCCATATAAGTTAGATATGACTGCTTTGCCGAAAGTCTTTGCTTGTGACCCGGGCAAAACGCTTACATAATTCCATTTTAAGTCTCCATTGTTACACGGAATATAGATTTTAAGTCTCCATTGGCGTCTTAATTATGATTTCTTGGTTTGATATTGAAATTCATGGGCCAAAGGAAAATGAGATATTGATACAAGTGTATGACAACCTTTACCACTTCATTGACTTGGCTGGAAAATTGCTAATTCTATATATTATTATGTTCTGTTAGTGATAAACTTGGATTCATAGGTGCAAGGTTGGGAGAAAAACTTAATTAAGCAGGTTATAGCGAGGATATGGTATCACCAACGTATTAAATATTGTCATGTAGCGGTAGAACTCACTAAAATAAAATATTTTTACTTAGGTGACATGATACAATTAGTTGATCGCACAGACAACGAAGTATTAAAAGTGCAAGAAAATTTTTCTCCAAGTTGGGTGTATATGAGCATTTCTTGATTGGTTAGGACCACATGATCTCGAACCACTTAATAATTCAATCTTCTTATCCAAAACTCAAATTTTATTAATGAAATAGAACTCATTCTCTACTTACAGGTGTTAGGAACGTGATTGTCATCCAACGATATATCGATATTCCAATGAGATTCATCTCATTTACTCGTTACTATCTTTCTAGTTACACCAAAGTCTTCCCAATTTCAGAAAGTCTTTTTGCATGGTGTAGACAAAACGCTTCCATAATTCCATTTCAAGTTTGAAAATATATGGTCTTTGGATTTGCATAAATAAAAGGACCACAAACCCTCCTTTTTCATGTCCACCATTCCATAACTTGCATACTTCATAAGTTCCATGGAATATATATATATATATATATATACATATTTCATTTTAGCTTTCAGTTTAAGTTTTTATTCATACAGCCACTATTTAATAGGGCTCTTTATTACAATTTCATAATTTGAAATTGCAATTTGTGGGACAAAGTAATATGAAATGTGACAATGTGATAACTGGGATTTTAAAATTTTAAATTATATTTATTCCATAATTTTTAGTGATTTTATTTAATTTTAAATTGGAGACTGAATCAAGTTCAGTTTAGAATTTGAATTTGTTGCTATATATATATATATATATGTTTGTTGGGAGCAGGCTGGCCGAAGTGATAAGAAGGAAAATTAGTAATTGATTTAATTTTGATTTTTTATTTTGAGGTTATTTTAGTGGAGGTGTAGTTTGTGTATACAGTTTATATATATATATATATATATATATATATATATATCTTTGGATTGCGGCAATTGGAAAAGGAAGCAAAAATCAGAATGGTGATGGTGGTTTTTGGTGCGGGACCCACGAGATATTTTGTGGGTTTGATTTAGTTGGTTGTTTTCTTGTATATATATATATATATATATATTTGATGGAATGAGTGAAGAGAAGGGAGCAACCGAGATTTAGAGAGATGATGGCGGGACCCATGAATAGATTTCTTAGCAAAATTATTGCTTTGGTTTGAGTTCTCACGTGGCTTTGTATGAGAAAAATGGGCAAGTTGGCCGAATGGAATAATGAGAAATGAAGGATAAGAAAAGAAGGAAGAGAGAAGAAATGATGAAGGAGAAAGAAAGTGGGTGGCGGGATTCACCAAAATGATGCTTCCTTGATTTGTTTTTTCTTTGTCTATATTTAAGTGAATACAATGACACAAGAGAAAAAAAATTAGAAAAAGACAGAGTGAGCTGGGAGTGCACGGAGAGAGGGCCGAGAGTTTTGAGGAGTTTGCAGGGGAGGCTGGAGGTTGAAGTTTTGATGATTAAGTGAAAAAATATTTATTTTTTAGTGTAAGATTTTCCGAATTTTGAATAACTTGGAGTGATTTTGTTTCAAATGATTTTACTAAATATTTTAATTAAATGTATATGTATTTTATTTATATTTACCTGTATATGCTTATTTTGTGAAGTTGTTTTATTAAACTTTCATGAAATTCTTGTTATGGTTTTTCTTATTGGAATTTTTTTGTCTCACCACTCTCCAGTTTCAGGTACCAAAAAAATACGGGGATCGGTAAATTCGGACTTAGGTGGAAGAGTCTGATTTAATTTATTTATTTGGAGATTTTTTTATGTATGTTGAAGAAATTGACTTTGTATAAAAGAAGGTAATTTTTTTTATGATCCTAAGTGTATTTTGATTTGTATAAATTGATGATTTTATTAGAATTTTGGATCTGACAAAATGATAGCAAAGCATTTTATTAGAATTTTTGTTAGAATCTTTAGGACTTGACAAAAATGGGGTCGGAGTATTTTGTTAGAATTTTCGGGTCGTGACAAACAACCCGTGTTGCTTTGCTACACTGACTTGGTTGGACACACTTCGAGTCATCATAGCCCACCGTGCAAGCTTGGGTATTATCAAAAGTGTCCAAATAATGTCCAATAGCTGACTGACAAGTAGAATGACCTTTTTTGGGTTGCAAATTTGGTGACTATTTAGTAATTGTTCAATAAAAAGAAAAATATAAAGAAAAAAAAATACAAACTATTATTTTTCTACATCGGTTGATAAATGAATAACGAACTACTTAAATGTTCATTTAGGTCCTCAAATTGTAGTTATACTAAAATTTTAAAGTTTTTTTTTTTAGGTGGCACGGGCGTCACAGGTGAAAACAATCAAGTACATAATTCTAAACAGGCGCATGACTCCATAATACAAGTTTTGAAACAAACCAGTTGATCAGTTGTACGTAATAAGCAGTGCAAAGGGCCTAATCATTTTACAAAACAGAAACTAAGAAAAAGGATATATACACACATAGAGAGAAAAATAAGCTTTGTTTGGTTAGATGAAATCTATTAGAAAAGAAGGGAAAGAGAAAACTTTTAAATTCTTTTTTGGAGTTTAGATAGAAGGAGAGAAAAAGTATAAGAAAACTTAGTTTCTTGTTCTTGCCTATTTTCTCCCAAACCGTTTTCGTCCAAAACAGGCGAAAGTAATATTTTCACGTAAAAAAAGTTCCTTTTTATTCAAAATTCCTATTTCATTCAAAAATTTAATGGTGCAAACAATTTGCCAAAAAAGAGAGGAGTTTGTTTTGTTTTTACTTTCTTTCCTTTTTAGTGAGTTTCTTTGTGTGTGTCAGCCATAAACTACTATATAGATGGAAGGCTCATGGAACCCTTTTTTTCAATATTTTTTTGCCCAAACCAATCCCTCTCTAATCTAATTCACTCTCTCACTGTGCCCCTCTCCCCATCAATTTCAAAGGCTTTTAACTTAATCTCAAGGGTAAATTGGTCCGTAAATAATCTGTTCTCCCAACATATTTAAAACGGTAAACTACCAACTATTTATTCAAAAATGTAATAATTTCCATTTCATGATCCTTGATCTTCCACACATTTGAGAAGACCAGCTCACCATGCACCACTATAACTTCATAGAATTTACAAAAAGTGAAGCTGAAGAAATCTTAAAAAGAAGTTCATACTTCATAAAAATTCATACTGTTGTGTTTTTTTGTGGTGGAGTCTGTACGTGATAACGTCAAGATTTTGAGAAACTAAGACATTATGTGCACATAAGTTACCACTTTAAATTAATTTTTTATGCAATGCAATCATTGTTTATATGAATGAATACGTAATTGAGTTTAAAATACTCCTTTCCACCATTCTTAAAGGTCTTGAATTCTTAAACATCTTGATATCTTTTTTTTTCTCTAATAAATTGATTTTGAGTAATCAGTAATTTGAATATAATTTTTTTATAGTTTAAGATTTGTTCTCAAATTCAATTATATATTAGTATAAAAACTGACATTATCTAGAAAATGGGATCTTCACTCAAATTTACATTTACATTGTAAATCGTCTTTCTACAAAAATAATAATAATAATAATAATAATAATAATAATAATAAAATATAATTAAATTAAAAAAAATCCATTATCACTCTATTTACAAAAATAAATTTGTTAAAAGTACCTCTTTGCTCAGCCATCCTTCAACTTGAGAAAATATAAAATACTAGTTTTTTTTTTTTTTTTTTTTTTTTTTTTTTTTTTTTTTTTTTTTTTTTTAATAGTTGAAAGGGTAAGCTGGAGAAAAGTATGTTGTGGAGTATCTATCTCCTTATATTTTCAAATGCGCATGCTTAGACTTTGTTAGCTATTGAGAATTCGAATCAACATGCCTATGGACCACCAAACCAGACTCCGGAGACGTGGGCTGTGTGTGGCTGTACATCTTGTGTGGTGTCACATCGTTTTAGAAGGAGATGTACACCCGCCAAGTCCATGCTGGGACTACGCGATAAACTATTGAATGTCACTATTAAATTGAAATAATGTCACGAATGTGTAATGCAAATTGCATCCTTGGTCCCTCTCGTTTATTGAGTGTGCGTCGGTCCACATATATTTTAATATAAATCTGACTCACTTTAATGAACGATGTTGGCACGTTCAACTTGTACTGACAGCTCAAATGATAAGAAATTTCGAAAGTGCTATTTTTGGTTTTTAGTTTGAATTTTTTTTTATCGAAATTGAGATTTGAATTTGATCATTGGCCACAATGGTTATTCAATATAAGTTATTTGGTCCCCGTTACGCATTATGATTTTTTAATTTCTCATTCATGAACTTATTAATTTAAAATAGGGTGACGGGTGGTGTAATGATATCAAATCGTGCTTGGAGAGAGCCCCAACGCGCCGTGGATCCACATGTAAACTTTGTTCTAATTTAGGATTTACAATATTGCACTTTTAGCTTTTGTGTTTTTGTCTATGGACCATGTAATGTAATAACATAATTAAACTTAAGGTAAATTACACCGACGTCCCCTGAGGTTGGGTCATATTTCAGCTAGATGAAAATTTTGGTTTTAACTTTCACTTACACCCCCAACTTACTTTTACACTTCTGATACATGTGAATTGACTATTTCACCCTCAATTGTTTAATACAAAATATCTGTAATCTTAAATGACAAAAAAGCCCCTATATAAATATATATTCTGTCCCCGGCTACTACAGCGACAGCTACACATCCTGCATCGGCCACCACCGCCCCTTCATTGCTGCCGGCGCCGCTCTTGTCTGTTCTGCCATCTTCATCATCAGCTATTCTACCGACCTGGGCCGTCTCCTCGGTGACCCTATAGCAAAAAAGACCCCCAAGCCCTGCGCCATCGTCATCTTCATCAGTGGCTTCTATATCCTCGACATGGCCAACAACATGGTCCATGCCTTCCTCGACGACCATACAAACACACTATACAACCAAAGATGGCATCAAACTGCCATCCATCATCACCATCGCCGACCCATCAACCAAGCATTCCCATTCGAGCTCACTGCCATTCTACACAGTCGTCCACGTTGAGCTGCTCAATCCGTCGCCTTCAAAACCATGTCATCATCTTCACCATTACCGGCCCATTATCACCACAGACCCACTTCGCTTCGAACTGTTGTCCATCATCGCTAGACCTATTTCGCCGCTGTGCACTCCATGCTCACCAGTGAAGACATTTCCATGCTTGCCTGTGAAGACAATTCTACCGGTAAGTTTGCCAGACACGTTAATCGTCCACTCATGGTCATAGCCTCCTGTTCTCGCCATTCCATGCCTCCTTACAATCACGTCATCCATCATCACTAACGTCGGAACAAACCCACCCCAATTTGGCGTTTGCCAACAGCCACCCATCACCGCTCGCCTCTGCGGAACATACCCAACTCTTACTGGTTCATTCCTTGGCTGCTGTTCCTTAAATTTCAGTATCATCAATGCCGACATTTCAAGCTTCCCGCCGAGCAGCTCATTACACCAATAAACTCTGCCGATAGGATTCAGTTTGTGTTTTGGAGACATTTTGGTCATTTCAGATGGGTCTGTTGGGGTAGTTAAGTCATTTTATATATGAAATAAAATCAGTACAAAATCAAAAGGTCTTATAGTCATTTTACACCTAAAAATAATTGTGACATCACTCCAAATTGACATTTGAGGTGTAAGTGAAACACTAAACCACTCTTTCAAATATAAATGAAAATTAAAACCAAAATCTTCATGTAATTATAAAATGACCTAACCTCAGGGGGTCTGAGTGTAATTTACCCTTAAACTTAAGCTTTTGATCCGCTGTTATTATGTCATGCCAATATCTTCATTATTAAGGTTATTCCATCTGTTAGTACATCAACCCGAAGTATCAATCCGAGTTGGAAGACCGAATTCAACCTGAGCTTAAAAAATTAAGAATGAGTTGGGCTCGGGTTAGTGGTCGGGTTGGGTTAGGGTTGAAGAATTTATACTTTGGGTTGAGCCTCTAACCCGCCCGAGTTGCACCGCTAGTTTGTTACCTCTTGCTCATGGTCCAAGATGGAATTCAAGCTACATTCAAAGGTAAAAGCGTATAGGGAGTTTGGAGAGTGTGGAGTTGGATTTTTCTGTGTAGTTCTTTTTTGGTGTACTCTGCTTTGAGCGTTCTTGAATGAATTTAATTTTTATATATAAAAATAAAAAAAGCATAATCTTCTAGACCAAGGATATAAGGGTACGTCGACACTTCTACGTGGTCAGCAAAATTAGAGTTCATGCATTCATACACCAAGGTTTTGAGATTTTATGATTTGATTTGGAAATCCAAATTGATACACATATAAAGTGTTTAGGAAACTACTTTTAAAGAAAAAATCTAAGTATAGGACTACAGAATGCTTCAATCAATCGACGTATCGATCAAGGGCTTCTGAAGTCATATCGATCGATTCACATCTCTCTCAATCGATCAAGCTATTCGAAACAGCAGTTTCATTTTCTGCTTATGACATTAAAAAGCCTTCTCTCTCTACTGTTTTCTCTTGGGAGGGCTCCCCTTTTGAGCGCCTTTAATGAATTCTTACTTACCAAAAAAAAAACAGCCTTCGCTCTCTACAACACTGATTTGTCTATAAATACACTACCATAGGACAAATCCATTACACACAGAGACTATATTTTTGAGAGCTTTTGAGCAAAATTGAGTGCATATTTTTCTTTTCAATTTCATTAGATTAGCGATTGTCATTCAATTGAACAACAGTTATTCAATAAACAGAGATTGATGTGGACGACTGGTCATTGGAGACAAAATCACTAGTTGAAGAAGCGAACCGCGTAAGGAGCGGGTCTGTTGAGGAACGGATTGTGCACATGAAGACCCAAATGGAGCATTTGGTGGATCAGTCTGTGTCAAGAGGGCTTTGGAATTGTTCACCTAGGCGTAACTTCTTTCTCATAGTGGATTTAGTTTGCCTGGACTAGGTCCCGTCTTCATAAAATTTTTGTTCTCATGTCTTCATGCTTTTTACTGCTTTTAGTTTTTACTAATCGAACGGCATGATTTTTAGCATGATGGACTGATTGAATTTCATTACTAGTTTTAATTTGAATTTTACGTTCTGATGATTTAGTTAAGAATTCAAAAAATGGTAAAAATTAGGTAAAGTTACAAGACCCATTCACCTCCCTCTAGGTCTAGATCACAGACCTTGTACAACTCTATATCAGAGTCTAGGGTTCCGGTCTTTATCCCATCATAATCCCTGATTCCCTACGTGTCAATCCATATTTCAAAGAACAGTAAAAAAAAATTATAGATGTAGATAAGGGAAAAAATAATGTTTCTATGGGTATTTAATGCCATGGAGACACGAAGAACACTAAATTCCATATTTTTAACAATTTAGGACAGACAAGAGAACCCTTTCTTCACCAAATATCTATTGGTCATGGTTTTAATTACCCAAGAAAAAGAAAATACAGAAATTTTATGGAATGCTTCAGCTTTGCCTAGAATAAAAAATCTTGTAAGGGGATTGGATCATAAACGAGGTTGATCGCATAATTTTACAGGTGTGGCATTTCAAGGTCTAGGTCAGAATGCTTATCACAAAACTTCATTTTTACAAATAGCATGCCAACAACCAACTTTACTTCCTCAACCAGCCCAACTTTTGCACTGATTTCCTTTCCTTTTGAAAAAAAAAAAAAAAACCTGAACTATCAATATTTTGCAACAAACCTAGAACTATTTTAAAGAGCCAAAAAAACTCCCTCATCTTTCAAAATCTTGCATAATGTCCCTGTCGTTAGACAACCTTTAAGTCTCCGTTAACTAACGATGTGAAATTACTAAAGTGCCCCTAATAAACTTGAAAAAATAACAAGAACAAAACAATGTCATATTGAATATAATTAATTAATTTGGGAATCTATTATTTTGTTTTAATTTTCTCAGGTTCAGTGTTAGGGGATGTTTAGTGATTTCACATCACATACTAATGAAGACTTCCCTATTGTTTAGGAGGAGGGGGTTTTATGCACGAATTTAAAAGTGTTAACTACCATTTACTCTAAAAGCTTAAGCTCTTAGAGAGTGTAACTTAAATATATAAATCCTTCAACACACCCCCTCGCATGTGGCATTCTTTTGGATCAATACGTGTTTTTCAATATTTTAATTAGGGTGACGGTGAGGTTTGAACTTGAGATTTGGCTCTGATACCATTTTAACAACCATCTACTCCAAAAACTTAAGCTGTTAGAGATGGTGTAACTTGAATATATAAATTCTTCAACAAAAAGATAAGCAAATTTTAGGATTAAAAATAGTTCAAGAGGGTTTGTTGCAAAAGATTGATAGTTAAAGGGGTTTTCTGCAATTTGCCCCATAAAAAGGGTAACCTACACTGGCCTCCCTAAGTTGGGCGTAATCAAACAAGGCATAAAATAGAATGGTCTTAGTTTATGGACATGAAGTAATATCGTGAAATGTCTTTTATACCCTTATTTGATTTAATAATATTTTAATAGAAAAAATCATGTCAAGCCGAAAGACTATATTAACCTCTTGTTTTTGGTAAATACCATGTCACCCCCTTAGTAATAACCACCTAAACCCCCTTACACTCCTCTCTCTTATCCCTGACACTGCAATCTCTCCCTCCCCTATCCATCTCCTCCAACAACCGTCACCTCCTCTCATCACTAACACCTCTTCCCACCACTTCCATTGTCATCTCCATCCTGACCACCTCTCTCTCTCTCTCTCTCTCTCTCTCTCTCTCTCCACCACCGCCGCCTCCTCCCACCACTTCCACCATCATCACCACTATAACCCTCTCTCTCTCTATACTCAATGGTGGTATCAAACATCACAATCACATGCCAAACCTTAAACACGCTGCATTTCAGATCTCATATCTCCACTATGAACTTGCCTCGTGACAATTTCTGTTTTACAACTTCTGTTTTTCTCTCTTTTCTCTCCTCAATTGTGGTATCAAACATAACAATCACAAGTCAAACCTTAGACCCGCTGCGTTTCAGATCTCAGATCTCCACTGTGAACTTGTGTCGTGACAGGTTCTGTTTTACACCATCTGTTTTTCTCTCTTCTCTCCTCTTCTCAGTTGTCAACACCACATCTTTGACAAATTTAAGAATCACCATCACCAATTTTGGTTCCCCCCCCACCATTATGCCCAACCCAATCCCTCTCTAATCTAATTCACTCTCTCACTGTGCCCCTCTCCCCATCAATTTCAAAGGCTTTTAACTTAATCTCAAGGGTAAATTGATCCATAAATAATCTGTTCTCCCAACATATTTAAAATGGTAAACTACCAACTATTTATTAAAAAATGTAATAATTTCCATTTCATGATCCTTGAGCTTCCACACATTTGAGAAAACCAGCTCACCATGCACCACTATAAATTCATAGAATCTACAAGGAGTGAAGCTGAAGAAATCTCAAAAAGAAGTTCATACTTCATAAAAAGCTTTTATGACCCAAAAAATGAATTGTAGTCACAGATAGAAGGAAAGACCACATTATCATCCAGCATTTAACTAAAAAGGCATTTATCTTGCACACAATCTATTTTCACCCATAGGATACAACAATCTTGTAGGAATTCAAACAAAAAAATTGAGGAAAATCACCAAATGATAAAAATGAAAATCTATCTACCTTGCACATAGATAGTCTAATTTATCTGACAGTTGCTATGGAAATCCACCAATTCCAAGAACACAAGTCAACTTCCCAGCACCAAACATCTAACCAGGATCTCATCCTACCTGCCAAGCAGGGCCGGCTCAATCGCAAGGCCATTGCCTTAGGCCCCAGTGCCCCACATTTAAATAAGGATTAATGAGTGGCAAACTAAGACATTGTGTACACATAAGTTACCACTTCAAATTAATTTTTTATGTAATGCATTCATTGTTTATATGAATGAATAAGTAATTGAATTTAAAAAATTCCTTGCTACCATTCTTAAAGGTCTTGAATTCTTAAACATCTTGATTTTTTTTTCTCTAATAAATTGATTTTGAGTAATAAGTAATTTGAATATAATTTTTTTATAGTTTAAGATTTGTTCTCAAATTCAATTATATATTAGTATATAAAAACTGACATTATCTAGAAAATGTGTTTAATCACTCAAATTTACATTTACAGTGTAAATCCTCTTCCTACAAAAAAACAAATAATAACAAAAGAAAATAAAATCAATTTATATATATATTTAGTGTGCTCAATTAGATATTCTTACTCTAGAGTCTCAAATAGTGAGACATCATTAAAATCAGTTTATTTTCTTTTCCTGTATTTTCTCAGCAACCAAACGAAGTTCAAGGACCACTCTGTGTTGTAATAGCAAGCCTTACCAGCGTAACTAGGTGATTTTGAAATGGATCATAGAATTTTTTTCTGAGGGAAGTTTCAGTGAGCTCCATTAAACAACAATTGTCAAATATTAGTTCAGCTACTAAACTCTTAGTTTCTTCCTTTCATATATATATGTATAAGCTCAATTAGGTATTCTTACTAAAGAGTCTCAAATAGTGAGACATGATTAACATCAGTTTATTTCCTTTTCCTGTATTTTCTCAGCAACCAAACGAAGTCCAACCAAAAACACAGGTAATCTTTCCATTCCCAATCCATCCAACAGTACAAATAAAGTGAATTAAACTCATAAAATCACACAACAAAGTAAATACTGAACTCTAATTTATGAAAATTGGCAATCAATGAACAGTTAGGTCACCGAGCTTACTTGTAAATCGGATCAGCATCACCGGAACTTGCGTTGAGCACACCGACGAGACACGAGACTGCTGCGAAGAACACAATCAGATGAGATTGTGCCATCTGATTGATGAGATAGAGAGAGAGAGAGAGAGTCAAAAGGAATAGTTGGAATTTCTACGATATCAAAGGACTGGGGTATTGCAATTTTGTATAAGGATGTGATTGATGATTTTCCATTGAATCTGAGGAGTCTGAAACTGCATTGAACGCATCGGGAAATGATTTATTAGAATACGTATGAAATCGATTAAAAGCGACGACGACGAGAGAGAGTTTTTAGGAGTGGTGAGTGGGAGACAAGAATCTTGTGACGAGCACTATGGAGCAGACGCGTGTCTAATTGCATCATAAAGTCCCGTTGTATAGCTGGGTAGAATCAGTGTCAAGTATATTTTTGTGTTTTTACCATAAATTTAACTCTGGTGAGCGAGAAAGTTGAAATGAAATATTATTGTCATTCTATTATTTAGTTAAACTATTATTAAATTTAAAATGAAATATATATATATTTTTTAAATATTTCCCCCAATGCACCCACATTACTTTTTAATAAAATTAATGGAATTGATGTTATGATCACCGATTATTATTAATTTTTTTTTCTAAGGTAAGAAAATTTTCATTAAAATAGAACAAAGATTATCACAATCACTAATTGCCATCTCTTCGGTGAAAGAAATAAAATAAAAACAAAAAACATCTAAGAAACCCGGACAGATTTAGAAACTCTGCTGAAGGGGGCAGTACTAAATTTTTTAAATAATTTAAGGGGATAAAGGTAATATTTCATAAGCATATATGTCAAAATGACAAAATAATAATGTAAAATAGTGGGAAAAAAAAATTCAGAGACAGTTGCCTCATTGAAGTGTACATGACTCTGTCCCTATAAGAAACAAATTGTGGCAATGCTTTGAAAAGCATATTGAGCACTACCAAGAGCCAAACTATTTGTTTGTCTCTTTAACTCACTCCATCTTCCATTGGTCATGCAGCTGCATAACAGTGTGAATGAGTATCTTCATAGATCGAAGTAATACTTGCACCAACTTTCATTAGCTTGATAACTAAACGATCACCACCTCTGTTAAGAGGCTAGTACCACAATCTTAAAAAAAAAAAAAAAAAAAAAAAACTTAAAATAAAATAAAATATTATTTTTAATGATATGTCCTTCTCAATAAAATAAAATAAAAAATTGACATAAAGAAAGCAAACAAAACAAGAAAATGATCGGTGGAGGCAAAAGAAACAAGAAAATGGTGGGTAAGTCACAATTTATTTATTTTCATTAACAAAAAAAACTCACGCATTCATTTGTAGTGGTCATTTCCTTTAGAAGGTAGTGGAAATATCACTAGATGTACTACAGCCTTTGATAGAACAGAATTGGGACACTACCATATTCTACAAGGAGCATAAGTAGCAGTCAAGGCTTAACAACTAACTTTAGTTTTATCTTTCTAATTTCTTTTCTTATTCTCCCTTATTCTTTTTTTTCTTTTTTAATTTTTTTTTTATTTGTTTTCCAAAGGTGATGGTGCAACAATACACACTATCAACAAAAAATTTAAATTGAAATTGGATGGGCAGCCCAACCCAGCCCGATCCCAACCCAAACTCAACCTAAAATTGGATTGGATTGAGCTAGTCTGAAGTCTACCCAAAAATGGATTATATCCATAACCCGAACCCAAATATTTGGACAGGTTAGGCCCGTTTCATGGGTCAACATTATTTATTTATTTATTTATAATAAATATGCAAATTACATTTTCCTTTTTTCCCATGTTTGTAAACATCAAAATTTTTAAGAAAATTTTATTTTTCAATTCATTAATACTCGTCATTTTTCTTTTAGTAAAGGGTCGCGTGCGGATAACCCCCTCTAGTATGTATATTGTGCGTAAAACCCCCCTCATATTTGTTAACCACCCCTCTATTAAAAAATGTGTGTGAATTAGTCCTTTTTGCTTGTTTACTGGAGCTGCAAATATACTAAAATACCCCTATCATCCACGCTACGGACACAATAGTATCTTCATCAACGGTGGACAAAACAGAGACCACCCCTATTATCAGAGACCCACCAGTGGACAGCATTTTCAACACTATCTTCACAATTGCTCGTCGTAGTAAGTTAATTAATAAAATTCAATAAACATACTAAGACATGAAATTAATATATAATCTGATTTAAAATTGAATCAAAGACCATTAAAGAAACTTTAGAGAGAACATATCAGTCCCCTCGGTAAAGCCCAGAAACCTTCCTAGAAGTCTTTGTATGTATTGTCTGGAAGGCAGTCAGTCCCTGACCGTTCATCAAGGACTCAAATCCCTAACCATTTCGAAAACGTTGAGGATTTTGAACAGCCGCTCTAGCGCCTCTTCCTGCCACACATCACCGCCGTTCATTGGTTGCCCCGCCGGAATCGCGACTCTAACAGTCGCTAGTATTGTCGCCTCTCTCTCTAAGATTTGGGTTTGAATTTAATTATTTCTTCTTTATTTATCTTTGAATTTTTCACTCTTCTCGCACTAAGATTTAGGGTATTGGCTTAAAGAGAAATCAAATTGGATTTATTTGCTCCAAGCTCGCCATCACTGTTCTCTCTTCGAGCAAAGGGAGGACCGATACTGGAAATGAGGAAATGCTTGGAATAGACCTCATCGTTGATGACAGAGTCACAATAATGTGCTCGGATTGAGCAAGGAGGTTGGTGGTGAGTTATTTTGTAATACCCCTAATTTTAAAAGGATAGTCTCGGTATTTATTTATTTGTTTTAATTATATTTTTAATTATTTAATTGATTATTTGACTAATTGTTTATGTGTTTAATTGAATTAATTAATACTTGATTATTTGATTATGTGTCTATGTATTATTTGTATTTGTCTATGTGTTAATTGTTTAATTAGGTTATGTGCTTAAATGATGTATTTGATTAATTGTAATTAATTGTAAATTAAATGATTAAATATTTTATTTTATTTTATTTTATGGTTATGGTTAGTGGTAATGGGCTAACTAATTGGGTCCCATGAATTACTTGGATAGGAGGTTGGATGGGTATGGATAATTACCCATGGATAGTTGTATATGTATATATATAGATATATATGTATATACATATATATAAAAAGGAAAGTAATTTATTAATATTATAGTAACTTTAGTATTAATAAATAATCTGATATATATATTTTATATATTTATATAATAAGGATATACATATATTTTATACGTAACATATTTTAAGTTATCTTTTTAATATTATGGTAACTTTAGTATAAATAAATAATCTGATGCATATATTTTATTTATTTAATGAGGATACAGATAGATTATATACGTAACATATTTTAAGTTACTTTTTAATATTATGGTAACTTTAGTATAAATATGGTAACTTTAGTATAAATAAATAATCTGATGTATATATTTTATTTATTTAATGAGGATATAGATAGATTATATACGTAACATGTTTTAAGTTACCTTTTAATATTATGGTAACTTTAGTATTAATAAATAATTTAATGTATATATTTTATTTAATTATTAAGGATATACATAGATTATATACTTAACATATTTTAAGTTACCTTTTTAATATTTTCATTTTTATTTTTCTTTATTAAGTTGACTTGGATTGGGAAAAGAAATAGGGTTATTATTTAGTCTATATATACACAACTATAGGAAGGAGTGAAAATATATCACGTAATATATTCTAGAGAGAGAGAGTTAGAGAGAGAGTTAGAGAAAGGAAGGAAGGAGGAGAAAACCCTTTAGAGAGGAGATCAAGGAAGAAGAAGTTTAACTTTCAATCCGAAAGTTTAAGGCAAGTTCTTCTTCTATCTCTTTCTCTTTGATTCGTGTTTCTGTACATGCCTAGGAAATTCCAGGATTTATTAAACACATAAAATTAAATAATTATGCATGTTTAATTGGGTTAGAACATATGTTTTATAAAATTGGTTCATATCTGTTCTTGTGTTATGAATTGATAAAATGCATGATTTTGATTTGATTTCTTATGTGAATTTTTACATGTTTAAATTATGTATTTTTCATCTCTGTGGAATGATGGAACGTAGAAACATGCCTAAGATTCCTGAACATTAAATAGGGACTAGGTTTGGGTTTTAATAAATTTAAATAGACTCAATCATAATGATACTTGCTATTTGAATGTTTTAAACAAACGAATGGATTTAATCTTTTAAAATATTTTAGCAATTGAGATTAAATGTGTAGGATGAATTGGATATGGAGAATCCTTATTTAACGGTATAATAAAATATCATCATGTATAAGATTCAGTTTGTGTAGGACATATGATATAGGAAGTTTAAAGAAATAATAAGTCATTCCTATTATGTGATAACTTGATATCATATTTATCATAGTTATTTATGGAATGTTTAATGTATTTCCTTAATTGTTACATCAATTATTGGATTGTGTGGTTTAATGCACCAGTATGGGACGGTGGCATTTTAGGGATGGATTAACTTATTAGTTAAGTCCTACCTATTTTATATAAGGGAATGAATTAACTAAAATGTTAAGTCCTACTTATATTTAAGTCATGTCAGCTGAACAAGTTGAATGACTTATGGATGATTAATTTATTATATAAGGGAATGAATTAACTAAAATGTTAAGTCCTACTTATATTCAAGTCAGGTCAGCTGAACAAGTTGAATGACTTATGGAGGATTAATTTATACTGGATAAGATGGTTACTAGATTATATATATATAAGTATGGTGCCATGATATGAGCTTGAGTCTCAGGATCAATGGTTAGGGTGCGTATATCGCCAGGGATGTGTAGCTAGATATAGTGTAGTTGTGTACCCTGGTAGGTCTAGGTACTCATGCCCACTATATGTGCGTTTTGCATGTTGCCTACTATTCAGGTTGAGACAACCTTATAGTCTAGTGAGGTTCCTTTAGTGTGTGTATATATATATACGGACTACTAGTTACTGTTGGATTGACTAGGATGTATACGTGTATCGGATCTCTGCTTGGACTGTAGTAGAGTAGAACTTGTTTGTGGGCCTGACCCACCATTATTTTTCAGGTGTTCGTCACGAGTAGAGGTTGTTCGTGCTGAGTGGGGATCAGTCTACTTCATTCTTCCGATGCTACATAGGAGTTCCTTTATGATTCAGTTTCCCGTTTTAGATTACTGTCATTTGTTGAGTTTGGATTTTCTAGGGGTCCACACAGTATGGATTCCCGAGTTGTATTTTGGAGGATCAGTTGTATCAGAAGAGTTTATTAATTAATGGAAATATATTATGAGGTTTATTATTAGATTATTATTTTAGTTTCTTGTCAGCATTTTATTTATTCTTCTTTATTCTTTTGTACTCTGTGTTCGTTTATTATCAATTTGTTTTGATATCCTCGGGTATTCGGGCGTGGGCCTGGCCAACCCGCATTCGGAAATTCGGGAGTATCACATATTTCCCAACACAGAGCTCTATGGAGAGTTATTTCCCAACACAGAGCTCAGTGGAATGGTGTGGGTGTGGGTGGTGGCGGTGAGGAAGAAGAGAAGTGAGGGTCGTAAATATGGTGAGGGGGCAATTACGAAATATGAAAGGGCAATTCTGGATTTTAACCCATTCTCGATTGGAAATCTTTTGCCGGAGGTGGTTAGTTGAACATTGTAGTTGTAGTATTTAGTGTGGATTTATATGCACAAAATAAAGTAGAGGGGTGTAATCCGCACAAAATCAAAACTATAGGAAGGTGTTTTTTTAGACTTTACCCTTTATTAAATATCTAGAAGTGCAAATGTAGAACATTCATATCACTTAAGTATGACATTTTTTTGTCATTTACAATTGAAATCTTATAAAGACATAATAAAGAATACAAAAAAGCATATTGAAACACTTTTAAAGGATAATTTGACACGTGCTTCAGTTTCTTAAAAAAAAAAACATATTGAAAAATTAAAGTATGTTGAAAAAAGTTATTTCATTTCCTTGACTATATATATATATATATATATATATATATATATAGGCACACACTATCCCAATTGAGGTAAATTATTTAAAATTTTATTTATTTTATTCAAACTGATTGCTCCTGAGTCATGACTCAGTTTGATCACTGCTTCAAAACTGGTTCGATACATATTGAGGGCTGAGGCAATAATTTTTTAATTTTTTTTAGTGTATTAGTATAAATAATATTAATAAGTCTAAGCAGTAAAATATATAGTAACAATAAAAATGAATTACAAAATAAAATATATAACAAGAAGTTAAAAGAATTTTAGAAAAACAAAATTTTAACTTGGGTTCAGATTGTTTAATTTGGGGTTCTGGATTGGATTCAAATTAAATCAGCCCAATCCGAACAAACTTGGGTTTTGATAAAATCAGTCCCATTGGTAAATTTATATGCCCAAGTTCTAAATTTTGTTGGCTAGGCTCGAGTTGGGTTGGGCTAACCCGCCCAAGTTACACCCCTGGATGAAACTGAGTCAAAACAGAGCAGCTATATATGCCTTAAGTTTTACTCGTATTCAACAATATCATCCTTAAGACCACAGGTTCACATGTAGACACAATATCATCCTTGGGTGTTCCACTTTATTTCCATTACGTACATGCCTAAGTTCAACAAGACCAAACGAAGGGCCAAACCAGATGAAGAGCAAAGGAAATGCCTTGGCCGAGTCGAAAGATAAGGAATAGAGTAAGGTGGTTCGGCCATGGAAGGAGGAATTCAAGGCTGGAAATTTCACTATCAACCGTTCACCATCTCATCATCATCATCACAATCAATTTCTTTTCATGTTCGTCTAAGGTAGGGATTCTCTTTAACCTTTGCCGCCTTTAGGGCGCTCTTTAAACTTGTTTTCCTTCTGTAAAATTTATACCTCATTTTGCTTGCTGTGAAGTTTATAGGAATTCCTGATATTGCTGCCATGAAATTTTAATCGTGCTTACAACTTCCTGATTCTTTATTAACAAAAATTTGCAGACATACGTGTTATACATATGGCCATGATCTGATTTTTGTACAAAGTTGTTGCTAATCTGAATTTTAAAAACTTTGTATGAGCTAACTTACCATATTTTCATGATTTGTGTTACTCCTCCTTAAAGTTTACAGATACCTTTGCTGAAAGTTTTAAGAATTGTAATTGAGTTGGTTAATTATATTTGGACTGGGCCATGCTATTGCTAAAGTTTGGGGACTAGGAGGGTATTGTCTCGGACAAAAGGGGTGAGCAATTGGGTACGAGCTACCCGTTGGTGAAAGACCATAAACCCGCAGCGGTAGACCCTAGATGGGTATTTGGAGTTGAATTCCAACTAGTTGATGTGGGAGAGATAGTTGGGGTCGCTCTAGTTGTAGTGAAGATGTTTGATGAAAGGTCCAAATGAAAAATTATATTCTTTATCAACTCAATTAAAGGTTTTGGAGCTATTAAGTTCATAAATTTTGTTGTGTACAATCTAATCATTTTGTGACTGATTTTTATTGTTAAATTGGAAATTGCGTTTTTGCTTAAGTAGATCATGTGCCAAAAACCTCATGGAGGCATTGGTTAAAGGTTTTCCTGTTGGGCGTCGTCTCATTCCTAACAATTTCAGGTATTGTCACCCGAGATGGTGGATGTGGACATGCTAGCTGCTATCTATGATTTGCTTTCATTCTGGAAACCTTTTGATAGATGAAGCTTATGCGTATACCTCATGGCATGAAACTGATAGTATAACCCATGCTTGGATTTGCTCTTAATGTGTTTATCTCTTTTTCTGTTGATCTGAGATGATAACATGACCCTTAGTTGTATATGTTCCTTTCACGTGTTTGAGTTAAAAGTTTAGTTGTGATATGGTGGTTTGGGTTTTGATTGGAGTGGTGTAGCAGAAGCTTGGGTGATGTTACTTGTATATATATTTTTTTACAAATTGTTCTCATTTACTAAATAATCATATGCTTATGTTGCTGGAAACACCTTAGACTCTTTTGATGCTTGACATTATATTATGCAAAACAGGGACCTTTATTTTATTGGAAAATAATGTTTTCTATAAGGATCTGTAGAGATCCAAAAGCTTTCAAATTTTAATCACAGCCTCCTTTATGCATCTAGTATTGCTCCGTAAAATTTTTTAACTTTTAAACCATCAAATCTTTTTATAAAAATCCGACAGTGCATGCGGTCCAACTTTAAATTGCAGCTGGAAACAGGGTTTTAATGGATTATTTGACCAACTTTTTGACACCTAATCATTACCAAAACTTCCAGATTTATTCTTTCCTAATGTACTTTCAAAATAAATTTACTTTGCCCAATTCAAAGATCAAACGAATTTTCTATAGATCTTAATAACAAGCCTATGTTAGACTCGTGAAAATTGCTAGAGGACGTGTGCTGGTCTTGGAAAATTTGCACTACGTCCATAGGATTTAGTGTAAGCTTAAGCTTAAATATATAAATCCTTCAACACATCCCCTCACGTGTGCCCTTCTTTTGGTCCAACACGTATTTTTCAATTTTTTAATTTGGGTGACGGTGAGGTTTGAACTCGAGACCTTTGGCTCTGATACCATGTTAACTACTATCTACTCCAAAAGTTTAAGCCGTTAGAGAGGGTGTAATTTAAATATATAAATCCTTCAACATTTAGTTGTAGGCTAACATGTCCACTAAATTATTGCCTAGCAAAGATGTGCATTCCCTTAACACCCTCATAAGGAAATAGCTATATGTATTTTGAAAAATATCTTAATAAAAATATAGTGCCAATTCAATTGTCTCATTTAAAGTTTCTGTCTTATAAAAATTCAGCACTGGATGCTGCACATTTATTGGTGGAAACTTAGTGCTGGAAAGGGGAAATTGTTGGTCCTTTGCTCTGAATAAGGAACTTATAAATAAGCCATGTTAGTTGGAAATCTTAAAATGTGCATAATACACATTGTTGTTCCTTTGTTCTGAACAGAAAACTTGGTAAGCCACATTGGTTGTTCCTTTGTTCCTTTGTTCTGAACAGAAAACTTGGTAAGCCACATTGGTTGTTCGCAGTATTTCTGCATCTAATTTCTGCATCTAAGGTAAGCCTTTGGCATGCATGTTTGGTATACTAAAAATGCAACACAGTTCTCATATCGGCACATTATACATGCATGGGACTATGGGAGGCATTTGTTTCCAAATACATGCTAGAAACAGATCAAGCATTTCAACCTTATCCATCATTGTTGTTGATCTCAATGTGAACATTACTTTACATGGAAAACCTAATATATTCTACTGTTGAAACCATTAAATCAATTCAGTTTTTAGAGTAAAACATCCTCCATACCACCCTCATATTTTTTGTTTTCTTTTTCTTTTTATTTTTTTTTTTCCTTTTTGGGTTTATATTTTGAATGTGAAGTTTTGATCACTTAGTTTATTTCTATTTACTGTTTCTATGTTCATCTCAAATGAGGTGTTGTTTTGTACCAAGTTGATTTTAAATCTACTCATTATCATTGAATTGTATACCTTTTGAAATAATTTTCGTGGTCTCACTAGTTTATCTTCATGTCATTTTGTCTCAATCACATATTTCTCTAATAATAAATGATTGACGTGCACAATATTTTCTTACAATCTTGTACTCATGTACAGTTTTCTGCACATTATTGAAACATATATAGATAGAGAAGTTATCACATTTGAAAGTTCCATTACAACTTTAATAATCATGGGGATTACCTCCTCTGAAAGTTCAGCTTTGCTATGGAATATGCAAAAACAGATGCAAAGACTAGTGGGAAAGCAAAAAGAACTAATGCTGCGATACCTAAATTATCACAGTGATACCCATAATAACTTTCTAAGAATGTATTATTTCTTCTTCTATATCTCCATATTGTGAAGTAAGTAGGCCTTTCAGGACCAGGCTGTTATGCAAATCCAGTAACACCAAGCCCACCATTTTGGAATTTTCTGTAAGAGAAAAATTTTTTAGATAGTTAAGACTAGTTGAAATTGAATTTTAATTATAATATGGAACTAAAGACTTTGTAACAAGTTTCTATCTTATTTGTTTTGAAATTTAAGATGGTTAGCATAATACTAGGAAAATGCATAGGCTGAGGAAATAACAATACTTTTCATCTTCAATTACTCAATAAAAATATAGATATTTTTACGACTTCAATTGGATAAAAAGTCTGAGTTTTTCCTTCTAGACTTTTTGGCTTTGACATCATAAAAGTTTAATACTTGAATGGTGTTGTAACTTGTAAGGGCTCAATTAATAAGTTGAGAAAACAATTGTCAGGTTCAAAAGAGTCGGAATTAACTTACTGGTCCTGTTATGATGTATCTTGCGAACAAATTCAATATGGTGTAACAGAAGGCTGCCAGTACTGAAGCGACTTGAAAATTTGGGGTCAATGAAACAAGCATCATCCCAAGGTAAGTGAAGTAGAGCATTGTACAAAACATTGTGTAGAAATACCAGAATACTTTGTCTACCGACAGGTCAAAATTTATTGCTGGATATGTTATTATCACAAATAAAACTGTTTAAAGAAAACTATATGGAATTTCAATAGGTGAGGTGATGTTTCCAGAGACATGCTTTGAATTGGTTCCATCCATTTTGTGAAAAGCGAGTAGAGAAATGTAAAGCATTTGAACCTTGTGCTGGGAAGTTCAGTTCATTAACCACTGCTTTGGTTTCCCTACATACAAAAGAACGTTATTACCTGATTTATTTATTTTTCTAGGTCTTCGTATATCAACCAATGTGAAAAACCAACATCTTAAAAGAGTGTCAATGACAGTCTCATAAATAATGCTTATGCTTATCGACATAGATGAGACTCTTTGTAGAGTTGGGCAAAGTCTAAACCATGTTGTGCTTCTACAGATGTACTTGTAACCTCTAACATCCACGTTGCAGGGTTGTAATTTTCATGGAATTTTGGCATTCCATCAATGCTCTGCCATAAAATACTGTAGTTCTTTAGTGATTATGGTTTTCATTTCTCTGGGTTATGATTAAATGCTAGTTATGGAGTAGTGAAGAATCAACCTGGGTGCAATTATAGAATTATTTAGAACAAAGAAGGCCATTGTCTAGTGTTAGTGTAATTTGCACATTGGCTGCTTTAATTAATTAATATGGAGAAGGAAAACATAAAGTTAGAATGAGGGAAGAGGTGCACGTCACTGTTGCTTACCTGAAAATATTTTATAAGTTTACTTGAATGCTGCCCCAACTCTCCGGAATATATTATTTGTCCTCCTCTCTTCATTAAAATTAGCAGCAAAAAAAAAAAAAAAAAAAAAAACCCCAATGATATTACTCTTATTTAGTAAGTAATAAGCAATCGTATCCAGAGAAAAAAGGCAAACTCAGTGCACGAGACTCACGTCATTGTGGTGTTTGAGAGGGTTAGATGTACTCAGTCTTACCTCCGCATGCGGCGAGGCTGTTTCCCTGTTTCGAATCTGTGACGTCTAGGTCACAATGGAGCAACCTTACTGCTGCGCCAAGGCTCAACCTTTAATTGTGTCCAGAAGTAATTTTCTGTTCATTTAATCAGCTGGAGATACTGTAACGAGTACTAGTTGAGGTAAAAGTTGACTCATGTAGTAAATTGTCCCTACCAACTAATTTTTTTGTGATTAGAAACAAGTAACTAGCATCCTTTTACAGTTTAAAGATATGCATGACGCTGTTCATACAACACTAGAGTGTGTGAGGACCGGATGATATCCCAAAATTAAGCACCGAACTTCTCTATGTTTTTTTGTTTATGTGGTGTACCATGGTGACTCTATCTGTTGGCATACTTAGTATTTTAGAGATGTTGGAGGATCAAAGTGACTGTTATTGTGATGCTAATAATTTGTCACAGGACTAACTTTATTTTTATATACCGAATTGTTCTGCTTAGCTACCTCATCAAATGCCTCAAATATGTCAATACTTGGCTGGTGAATGGTGCACACCACTGTCCTCCTTTGTTTTAACAATATTCTTCACTACTCGCATGACAATTGCAGCTGCTCTGGCATATAGACCAGAAGTGGGTTCATCCATGAATATTATAGATGGATTTGATACAAGCTCTATAGCTATGGTTAGCCTCTTATGCTGCTCATTTGATATACCACTCACACCAGGATAACCAACTAAATCATCTTTAATATCTTCAAGTTCAATCATTCGAAGAACATCAGCAACAAATTCCTGTAACATACAAACATTAGTGAATCATTCTAGGCTATGTTCTTCTTCTTCTTTTCTTTTATATCTAAGCGAGTTATACAAGGATATATTCATGTTAAATTCTTATTGCAACTTGTTTTTTTATTGCATTAATGTTGGAAACTGCTAGTATATTCAATGGAAGTAGAGACATCTTACAGATTTTGTTCTTTGATCTATTTGAGATGGCAAGTGTAGCCAAGCTGAGAATGTCACTGATTCTTCTATTGTAATTTGTGGAGAATGCATGTCAGTTTGCTCACAGTTACCTGATATTCTGGCATATGTGTCTTGGACTTTAGGGTGACCTCCAATTCTTATATCTCCTTCGATAACACCACCAGTTTTTCTTCCTGAAAGAACATCCATAAGTGTTGTTTTCCCAGCACCGCTAACCCCCATTAAAGCTGTAAGAATTCCAGGCCTAAATGCTCCAGTAATATCTTGTAGAAGCTGTAGCCTTTCTGGCTGGATACCTTGTCCTCTCATTTTCTGTAACAGATGTATGAAAGAAACTTAATCAATTCAAGTCATATCCGGCAGTGTTAGAATTAGTCCTCACTGGATAATACAATTACCTTAGGAGTGTCAACAAAATATTGCACATTCTCGAACGTTATTGTCATTTGCTCAAACGGTAAAACCATCCCTGTTGCATTTATTGACTCTTTGTCCTTATTAGTTTGCTTAAGAACAAACGACCTCATCCATGTTATATGTAATAGTATTACCT